ACTATCATTTAATATAAACTCCTTCTCATAATGCTTTTCTCTCTTCCACCCCCTACAACTTTTTTATTTCTACTCCACCCACTTCCAATGTTCCTACAAGCTTTTCAAATTGTTCTGCTTCTTTTGCATTTATTTGTGCTGTACACCATCCGTAAAGGCATCTCTGGAACTTTTAAGTAATTTTGCAAAGACAACAGTGGGAAGGCAGTTGCACATCATATTATTTTTGGCTAGACCCTTCAGGAACAATGGCTATTGTTTGGCAAGCTAGCAACAAGGAGGCTGCGTTAGTGATATAAGGGTTTGGAGCCTGGGGGTGGTTCCAGACATGATTGTGAGGCATTTTGGAATATGTGTGATTCAAAAACATTTGGCAACATCTGTTTTTTAAAAAAGAAAAAAAAAAAAACAAAAAAAAAAAAAAAAAAAAAGGGAGAGGGGTGTGGTAAAGAGGGGAAAAAATGAAAAAAGTGCAAATCATCCACAAAACTGAATCTATGGATAAAATAATGTGCTCTATTAACTTTGAGGTTTTTTCCTCTTGCACATAATTGTTACAAGTGCTGATCAAAATGACATTCCATTTGTTCTCCCTCTTCCTGTGATTTTGACTCAATAAGGTGGTGTTGGCTGACTGGGGGACGCCGCAGGGGGACACCGCGGGGATTTGCTTTCGGGCTGGGGCTGCTTTGGGCTCGCAGATGTGCGAGTGCAAGAACGCCAGCGCCGAAGGACTGTCCCCGTGCCCGAGAGGCGAACGGGGCTGCATCCCTGAGAATCCACCCGGCGTGTCCAGCAGCCAGTTACTCATTAAGGCCGCTTAGAGCGCTGAGGCTGCCGCACCCCCGAAACGCTGAAATCGCCATCCATGGGCGGTGCAAGGAGCTGCTGCGGGGAGGGCGCGGCAGCGTTCCGCGGTGGGGAAGGGCCCTTCCCGGCAGGGCTGGCCCGGGAGCGGCCCCGGGATCTCCGCTGCCGCCCGCGCTCTCGGCGCAGCGGGGCCGCCAGGTGGCGCTGCGGCGCCTCGGGAGCGGGCCGCGCTCCCGCCCTGCCGCGCTTCCCTCCGGGAATTGCGCCTCACGGAGTGGCCGCAGCGCCGGCCCCTCCGGTGGAGCGGAGCTGCCGGGCTCCGCCGCGCTGCTTCTGGCGCTGAGGGGCCCGGAGGCAGCGGTGCTGCCGCTTCTGTGCTCAGTGCAGCCGGTGCTCGGCGCCGCTGGGACCGCGCTCCAGCAAGGACACCGAGGGCTGGAACTGCTGCCCACAGAAGGCGTGGAACCGCCGGACCTGGAGGTGTTGAAAAGACGCGTGGATGTGGCATTTTGGGACATGGTTTAGTGGTGGACTTGGCAGTGCTGGATTAATGTTTTTATGGAATGAATTGAAAGATCTTAGAGATCTTTTCCAACCTTAGTACCTCTATGATTGAAAGTGTGGTTCTTCCCTGTTTGAAGCGCTCTTCCACAGTTGTGCTTCTCTCTGTCCGCAGCTAGAAAAGCCTGATGGAAAGAAATGCTTAACCATGGAGCTCCTTTTATACACGTGTCTTCATTTCCCACTTGAGCACTGATGCTTTTTGCACACTCCCTGGGGGTTTCCACACCAAAAACTTGAACTAACATCTCAAAAAGCAGTCTTGTTTTGGTATATATTGGGTTCTTTCTCCTCTGCCTAAGGAACTTAGTCCATACCAACAGTGAAACCATATTGTCCTGCATATTTGGAGGAGGTAATTCTGCTTGTCTTAGGTGTAAAATAAAGCATTATTCTCTTATATGTGTGCTGTTCTCCTGGTACTGAGGGAAATAACCCTCTCAAGGTGAAAGGAGCTTGAAGCTTTGCTTAAAGCTTCATAAACATGGCAGGCAGCTTTATGTTTATGTTTTGAGAGCATTTGATAGAAAGTGACATTTGAAACACCAACTATTACCATTAAATTTTATAGCTCAGGACTATTACTGGGCCATACCCTAGAGGTTTAACTCAGTCTCTTGTTTTTAGACTCACCATGTCTGAAATCTAAACTGAAGGGTGGTGACATCAAACACTGAAGGAATTTGGTTTGCTTTTCAGGAACATTGAACTCCTTGCAGTGTAGGGTGTCTGGAGACCTCAAAAGGCAAAAATTCTGCTTTGGGGCTTTTAACCACTTATTCTGAGGTCTGGCCTATTGTAATTGTATTTGGTTTTTACCTGATGCTCTTTCCAAATGGTTAATTCAAGAACAGTTTTTAGCTGTAAAGCAGGAGCTTTAGTTCAAGAGTAGTTCTTGATATTGGGGTTATTTCAATGAATGCACACTGCTGATAAACTCTTCCTCAGAGGTAAGAGGTTACTACAGATAATCAGCAAGATTAAATACTGACAAAAATTATTATGAACCCATATATGACTGCAATGATTTTTTCCCAATATTTACTGAATAACTTGCCTGGGAAGTAGGTCTTAGTTTGGCTCTCATGGTTGATTCTAAGCCGTCTCTTGCCCATACCCCTGAGACTCTGGTTAATTTTGTGGCACAAAATATTTAATTATGTGCTCTGCCAAGTGAATACAAGGTCTCAAATTGAATTGCAGCATCCCTGGGCAACTATTTTAGACGATTTGGTAGAATGTAAATGCATATTTTCTGCATGCCAGATCCTGGCTCCATATCCATCAAAGTAAATCCTCAGTAGTTCCACTGAAGGCTTGGAACAATCTTAAATTATGTTGTGGAGGTCACATTGTGACCCTGAAGCTCTGGCAGAGACCCAAACCAAGAAATTTGTGTGGGAAACTGGGGAGGGAATAAATTAGCACTTGCCTATGCTTTTTGTGGAAGTAAACTGTTACAAAGGTGTGAGTTAAGATGAAAGCTCCTCATGGTGGTGGATATTGCTTCCCAGCTGTTTCTGCTGGAAACAGCTCAGTGTGTGTGTGTGTGTGTGTGTGTGTTTGGGATGGGTCCTTATTTTCTGACGGTGCTCTGTCTCAAATAAAAACCAGTTTTTCATTTCCATTCCCCCACTGTCCCTTCCCCCTCACCCCCTCTAAACAAATATCGCTTAATCTTATAAAATGAAAGTCCAGGGGTAGGTTCTAGTCTGGGTGGGTTTTTTCCCTCTGGTGAATTTAATCCTTCATTTTCTCTCCCTCTGCCAAATGCAAGTGGCAGGTCTAAACAGTATTAGGTAATTGTGGTTGTCATGCTGCAGATTGCACTGTGGAAAAAATTAATTGCTGTTTTTTCGCCGAGGGTTTGAGCCGTGGTCCCTTCGTCTGCCCAAGACAGCGCCGTTTCCCTCCCCGCTGGGGCTGCGTTCCATGGAGCAGCATGAAAGGGCTCCTGTGCAGCTGCTCTGGGCGAGTGGGCGGCACCTCCTTCAGTAAAAACAGCTAATTTATACAGCCATGAACATCGACGGCTATAAATAAACAGCTCTGACTGGCTTCGCGTACTTAAAATGAAATGGGAGAGACGGATGGACTGGAAAGAGAAATCTGGTGTAAATGTCATCAAGGCCAGATCCTTACACAGGGTGTCTCAGTAAAACCTTCTGAAAAATCACAGGGAAAATGTTGGTTTGTGAGCAATGACACATTTTCCCCCTTTCGGAGCTTTGTGGATATGAGAGAAAGGAACAAAGCAAATCCAAGATCCCAGCAGTTGTATTTTGGGGACAGGCACTCCTCATTGCTTTCCCAAAGTGCATGACTGGAATCCAGCTTCTCTCTGTACAGGATTTAGCAGAGAGAAGTGCCTCTTCTGAGCCCTTTTCAAAGAAATAAACGATCTCTCCCATGATTCTCCTCAAAGCCCTGTAGTCCAGCAGCTCAGTCACCACATCAGATCCCAAAGGTACCACTGGTGTGAGCAGGAGCTGGGGGTGAGGTCTGCCATTTGGCTTCTCTGGTTGGAAATGGAAAAACCTATTCCTCTGTGCTGGGGCCCAGGCTTCGTTTTGAGTTTCTGACAAACTGTTTGTACTGGAGTATCAGTACAAAATAAAATAATTTAAAAAGAAGAGAGGTAGAGACAAAAATATCCAGCAAACCTGTAGAGGCAGTTTCCATAACTTTCTCTTCTTCCCTAATTCCCTCCGTGTTTTTTTCTTCTGTCTGTCTCTCCAATATATTTCCTTTGACCAGCATCTTTCAGCTTCAACCAAAAAGGAGGGGGGAGTGTGTTTGTGTGTGGGCATGTGTAATTGCTTACATTCCCCTTGCAAAGTTAGCTGGAGCGCGTTATCTAGATAGGCTGGGAATTACTGAATGCATGCACGTCTCTCATTGATTTCACTTAGTTTACAGTCTAGGCCTAGCATGTTAACTTCCCAGATTAGAATTTTTATCAGATGCTTAACACATGAGAAGAACAATCTTATGTATACACATTATCTTTTTATTGCTCACAGGCAGCTTACAATGTGTTTTGTTTTTACTGAGCTCCAGCGGCATTTGAAAGGTGAAAATAACACCCCGGTGAACAGCGTGCACAGTAGCTCTAAGCGAGAGGCTTTGCCAGTGAGGATGGATTTAGACATTTAAGTACTGCAACTAGTTTAAAATCCTCTTTGAATGCAGGAATAATAAGAGAGATTTTTCTTTTTCACATTGACCATTAAGGAACACTTGTGCTAGTCTCGGTTTTTTCGTGTTTATTGGAGTTTGCAAAGCAGATCTCCAGTGTTTTGGATGTTAACAAAATGTTGAGGCTAATAACAGAAATCAACTATATTGAGGAAAATTAGTAAACATGTGAATGGAGTGTAATTATATGGCAGGCAGCTTTATGTTAAACAGTGCTTTAAATTAACATGCTTTCTGTCAAAGCAATCATACAGTGAGTATAATTAGGTTACTTTTGCTGCGAGATTAACTGAGACCAAGAAAAAGGAAGAAACTGTTGCCTTCAGATTTCCTGTTATAGTGGAGGGGAGATATTAAGCATAATATAAGCATATTAATATTACAGAAAGTTTCTCGTTAGAAGAACTCGGCTTCTTGGTGAACTTTCTGAGCAGACATTCCTAATTACAGTGCTTGTTAGCCCAATTTGTTATCTAGCTAGCTTGGAAGTCACAGCACTGTTAAAATTATCTCTCCTCTTAATTTTTTCCAGACTTGATGAAGGGCAATCCAAATAAGAGCTGGCTTGCATTCACAGGTCTTTTACAGAGTGGTGTGAGGCTCATGAGGGAGTGCATTTACCAGTGACAACTTTTAACCATGGACACGTACGTTGTGCAAGAGATGAGAAATCTGTGTAAACAGATGAACACAATTTTCTTATTCATAGCAGTTGCAGAGTTATCATGAAAGAGGGAAACATTTCATATTTTCCACCAGTTTTCCGTATGTCTGATGTCATAATGGCTTCACCAGAAGCTGCAATGCATTGGAGAAAGGATTTATCACAGCTACATTTATTTTCCTCTACTTCATGGCTTCAGCATTCATGGAGAGATTGTTTGGCTTCAAGAGGAGGATTCACTTGCCTTTCCACTTGTGGTCCAGTATTACTATTGAATCTCCTGTTTGGAGACAGAGGAGAAGACATTATTGGGATCTGAGAGGGAAGGCACAACAGAGAAGTCCTTTCACACATCAGGGATGAGGAGGAAACTGGCCCCAGCCTCCCAACATCCCTGGGGAACTCTACCCATCTGGGAGTGGGAGTGAACTGCGAGTGCATGTCTTGGACCAGCTGCTAATGCTAAGTTCTGCAGAAGTCAAATGAGCCTGGGATGTCCCCACAGCAATTAACAGATTACTCAATGACTGAGGAATTATTTGAAATCTGCCATGGGCCACACCCATTGAGAATAATTGTGCTTTGCCAGCGGGAAAAAGTATCTGCCACCAAGCAAATCTAGCTTGTTGTAAGAGCAAGTGAAAAGCTGGAGCATCCTCACATGGCTGGTCAGGACAGCATAGGACCTACTGAAATCCCACAGCTTTCTGATGCACCAGTTATTGTGCTACTGCGGGGCACCCCGTGTGGCAATAATCAAATGTTGATGGGTACCTTTTCTAACACACTATCTCAGCCTCTCTTCTTCCCCTCCTACGATCATTCACTCATAGGAAACTCCCCTTTAAAAATGACCTTTCCTTGTCCATGGACCTCATAGGCTCTGAAACACTAATTCTTGTATTGTATTGGTGTGTACTGACTAAATTGATATTTATGGGTGAGGGGAAAAAAAATCCAAACAACAAAGAAAAATAATAGCCTGGCAGGCCAGGACCAGCATGTTGACCAGCACTTCTTAATGTCTGGCCTCCACTGATGAATTTGTAAACTCTGGTTTGCTAGAGGTTCCAATCCAGTCTGCCTCCAGTGGATCACCAGATAGACTTATCACCAGAAATAGGACCTGTGACAAATAGTGTAGGTTTCCTTTACACAGTCAGTCATCTCTGCCTGAGGGATAAACTGCAGCTTTGGGGAGTGACAAATATGAAGGACATAAATGTGCCATCACAGGTTTGTGGTACCACTAGGACCAATGGATGAGTCAAAAGTAAATACTCATATTTAGTTTTCAAACTCTGGGATTTAAATCCTGTAAAATCTGAGTTCCATTAATCATTGGCAATATAGGGAAATTATGGATAGAAATATTATTTGGTTACTGAAAGGAGTAGATAGACTCTGGACTCTTATTCTTTGCATGATAGAACAAAGCCTCTGGAAAGGAATCTCAGTTTAAAAATCCCTCCTGGATACTGTGATAACAAAGGGCGGAACCTGTGTCTTGAGTAATAACTATGTGCACAACATCAGCATTTCAACATTCATACAAAAACTGCTGTTGATAAGCCTGTACCATTAAAATGGTAGCACAGCTTCATGCCCCACACAGTTGCCCTTTGCATCCCTTTATTTGCCATTTGGGTTTCTGCGATCTCAGCAGCTGCTCAGAATAATGACAGCATCAAGAATTCAATCTTATTATAGTATTGCTTTGTATTGCACAGATTTGTGAGCTGTCACATAGGCTGGATTTCCCAAGGCTACAGGGTATTAAGGGAGCTTGGTTTCAAAAGCCCATAAATACAAAAATAAAACTCAGGGAAAATAATCAGTTCTGAAAATGTTATATGATTCTGGAAAATGCATTGAATGCAAAAGTACTCAAAAAAAAAAAAAAAAAAGAGGAAAAACAGGCTAAAGAGAAGATTGTTGTTTAACTTTGTTTCAGCCTTAGGTAAATAGGTTTCAGCAATGTCTTCCCGAGATATTTAAGAGCTCATAGAAGATCTGGAAGAGTGCATCCATCTCTGCACTGAGCATAAGGAAGGTATTCTACCATAAGTTTTCTCTTTTTCCTCAAAGCAATGGCTCTATTCCTGTTGAGCTGCCTTACCTCTTGCATTATAATATCTTTAATTTTTGTTTTGCCCCTGACAGTGTTCCTGCTGGCCAAAGCTTTCCCTTCTGGTGGACAGCAAAGCATCTGGGTGGGTCTCTTGGATCTGCTGCCCACTCCAACAATCAGCTTCCTTTCCCCCCCCTGTTTCTCTCCCAAAGAACAGTTCTGCCATGGGGTGATAAGCATGTCTCTGGGAGAGGCCTTGGGCCCACAAAATCTTGCAAGCAGAGGCAAAAACATCAGGAGGCTTTTCAATGCTGGAGCAAGTAGCTGTTGCTAGCTATAGCTCCTCTCCAGCTGCATTTCAGAATACTGAAATGAAGCAGCTGATGAATGTTATTTTGGTTTTTTTTTCAGATGTGTTAGATGGAAGACAAATTAATGTGCTCCATCTTCAAATGCGAGTTCTAGATAAGACACCTCACTTGAAAGGTTGCTCTGTCTGATGTGGAGAACTTTGATCCAAATTTCTCCCAAGGATCTGATTGTCCCAACAAGAGCAAACCCCAAGCGAGCATTACTTTACTTTATTTTTAAGGATTCTAGTTTGACTGGTCAAAGAAACATGAGATCAGTTGCCTGTGTGATGTTTTCCACCCATCAGGAAGGGGAGAAGCTATCACAGGGTTCATCTTTGGTACTCAGACCCTGCAGCCAAGCTCTTGGCTGAGGTAAATTTATGGCAGTAAAAGAATCAGCTCATTGTTTCAAATTATCCTCTTTGGAGTTTCTCTATTGCTCAACATTGTCTTGTACTCTAGAAACTCTGGGATTTAAAACAAAAAGAAGTCATTACTGGTACTATTTTCTGTGCCTCTCAGGCTGTGCAGCTGGGTTGCCTTAGTTACCACCAATCCAACTGTGCAAGGGGAGGGAGAGGAGAGGCACATGAGAGATAATACATTTTTAAAACCTCCAATACTGTATGAAACAGTTTGTCTATAAATAATAAAATTAATTTAGGGTCTGGCATCCTGAAAAGGAAAAAAAAAAGGTTATATTATTCTACAGCCTAGATTTTCCAGCTCTCAGAAATGATATTGCATCTTTTTAGTCGAGCACAGGACGTAGATTTAACACTTACTTGCTTGAAACTGGAAGCTGCCATCTACAGACTTTGGAATAAGTTGGAACTAAATATACCTTTAAGTGTGAAAAAGAGTAAATATTTATGTAGCTGGTTTTAGGAAAAATAATAATGGCCTGTAGTTATAAGGGAGTGTGGAAGAGCCCATATGAAGCATGGTGTGCTGTGGAACAAGCTTCTTTAGCAGCCTATGGTCTGCCAAAGGATTTAAGTCCAGGAGGGAGCCAGGCTTTACCACTCTGGTGGAGCTGTTTGTTAATCTCTTCTTGCACCTTTGAATAAACACCTCTGGGCAACCGTTCTTCATTCGAGTGGGAAAGAAATAGAAAGAAGCAACAGCCTAATTTTTTTTTTTTTTTTTAATTTGGGGAGAATCCTGGTGCCAGCAGCCCAGCCAGAGAGCTCTGTCTTGTCAGATCCCACCAGCATCAGGTCTAATTTTTTGGTGGCTTCAGGTGTTATTACACAGGGTGTTTTCAGATGTGCCTACAGGAACCTAGTAGATATCTGTATTAACCTGTAACCCAAACTGCCTTTGGGGAATGAAGAGGAAGCAGAAGAGAGATCAAAAGTGCCCTTCCATGTACTTTATCTTTGAGGGAGAGAGGAGGTGGGCAGAGTGGAGAGTATGGAAAGATGAAGAGGTCTGTCCTCTACAACCACTGATTGTTTTACCTTGGGGGACGGGGTGGGGGGAGGTGGGAGGTGTTGTTTTTTGTTTGGTTGGTTGGTGGTTTTTTTTTTTTTTTTTTGTTTTCTGAAGGATCTTTTCCCCTGCATCCTCTGCCTTATTGTGATGGGAAAGAGAGAGAGGAAAGGGTAGGATGAAAAAAAGTACATGGAGCCATTTTTGCTGTGGGAACAAAGGTATGTTGGAATCGCATCTTCATTCAGTTTGCAGCTCTTTTTTCTCTGGCAATGCTGAACCAAAAATTTGTCTCAGTCGGGAATATATTAAAACTCTGGCACATTGTAATTTGGAATAGCTTCCCTGTGGCTATGTTTCAAGGCTTATTGGGACTTCGTTATTGATACCAGCTTAAGGAAGTCCTACTCTTCTCTTGGGTGGACACAGCTGGGATGTGGATCAGTAAAAACACTTGGCACCAACATGGGGAACTGTAACTCAAGGGGAGTGTCTTGCACGTGGATGAAAACACCATGTAATTGTGAAGGCCAGGATTTTGTGGCTCTTTTGAAAAGGAGCAACTATGCATGGAAAGGCAGACCCACCACACAGATGAGGCCTCCAGGGATCACAAGAGCACACCAGATATCAATGGAGAATATTGTGTATAGTTTATATACATATTCTGAGGTTACATTCATGTCGCCACAACTGGAGTGCTTTTCAGCCTCTCTGTGTGCACAGTAAAGTTGAGTGCTTGCCCAAGTTTCTTTAGTCAGCTGTTGAATATGCATCTAATTTTTGCAGTTAATTTGATCTCTTCTTGGCACAATATTTTGTCCAATCAATCACTTAGCACATTGGAAATCAAATTATTTTTATTCTGATTATCTCCAGCATTTGCAGCAGGCATACTCTAGCCCTAAAATTACTAATATGTACTCAGTGATGAAAAAAATCTGATACATAAATGTATCAGATATCTCATATAAAGACTTATGCCATCATGTGGTGGTGGTGCAGTCTTTGATTAGCAGTAGTTACTATTTATATGTGATGGCTCTTAAAACAGAGCTAGTGCAGAAAGGCTGCAGATCTGTTTTCATTTACCAGCAATCCTCATCTCATATGATGTTTTTGCAGAATAGAATGTGGCCAAAATCTCCAAACATGGACATGTAAAGCAGGCATCTTGTTTGCAAAGGTAGCAAGTGGTGAAGTTGGTTATTCAGCACATTTGAAAGCCAATCTGCTGCTTTTAGGTAGCTGTGTATGGATGGTGAGAGACTAGCTACAGACACTCTACTTTGGCTTGACAGGCATGTGAGACTTTGCAAAATGGATCAGGCATCAAATGTTCCCTGAGAACAGAGGGAGGTTGTCTTATTTATTTTCAGAGGTGTTTTTGCAGTGTTTTTTCTTTAATCAGAAAGCTAGTTTAAGAAATTGCAAATGTTCCCACGTTTGTCCTAAATAAAATACACACGTTTTCTTGACAGAAACACTTTCATCCTCAAAAATTCAATCTTGAATGGAAAAGGAGAGAAAACCAGAAGGAATAATAATAACAGAAACAATAATAAAAATAACAATAACAATAATAATAATAATAGTATCCCATGCCAAACCCTCAAAGGTGCTCCCTCAGTTCTCTCTCTTCCACGTGTTAAATATGCTTTCCTAAACTACGTTTTTTCCCCCCCTCCAACTGCCCATTATGTCCAAGGAAGCTGCTTTTCACTTTTTTTTATGTCACTACTGGTCATACCACTACTAAAGCAGAAGGAAAAATTTCTGAACAGTTTATAAAAGTTTCCAAAGTGCTGTTTTAGTCATGGAGCTGCTGCCACTTGGATACACTGATGCATTCCTGTAAATTTGCAGTAAACATTGATAATTCCTAGTCTGACAAACAACATGTGATGCAGGTGTAAGAGTTTCAGCTCAAGACATGTGGCTTCTCTGGACCCTTCTTTGAGCAGGAATTCAAAACCCAGTGATTATGCTGGTAAGAAACACTTCTTGACCCAAGTTAGAGGAAGCTGGTCCAACGTTTGTCTTGCTCCGATTTGTTGTTTATTTGTTAGCATGTGGGTGGCACCTAGCAATCACTGTCTGACACTCAAGTGCCACCACCCCAACACCTTCCCCAATGTACTCATGCCCCCTTCCTCCTCCTGCCTGCCTGGGCAATCACAGCAGTTCATTTCAGGGGTGTTTTTTTCATATGCATGGAAGTAATGAAGAAAACTTGGACTGACCCCATATCATACGGTTGAGGAACTCTCCGAAGTTGTAGAAGGCGATGATGATGGCAAGGCTACCGGCAAAAAAGGCTGCTAGTCCAGGGGGGCTGAACAAAGCTAAGAGAGGATATACCCACTCTCCTGTTACAGAATAAATCCACAGGATCCTAGGCAAGGAAGGAGAGAAATTACCTTTGGTTAGGACCATTCAATTAGAAGAACCACTTCAAAATTTCCAGCTCCTGAGGGGCTGAGTTATCAAAACAGGCTTGATACAGAGAAAATTAGCTCGGCTGTCAATACATCTCCTCGGCACTTGGGCTATTTGTTGTGAAGCACACTTGAGCCAGTGCTAAATTAGATGGGTTTCAGTGCAGGTTGAAATGCACACAATATTCTGCTGTCACCCTAGTGGCATTGGCTATTAACAGCAGTAAAAGCACAGTAAAATAGCAAAATGTTCAGGAACAGGGATGTGCACTTGGCTATGCTAAGTGAAGCTTATTCAAATAAGCTCTCAAATATGTTTGCTCTTTAGATACAGCAGCCTTTCAGCCCCTATCCAGATCCCTAGAGTCTGTGGAGACACAGAGCTGTTCCTCCCTGTCTCAATCCTTCTGCTGTTGACCACTGTTTTGAGGAGTGGAAAGAAGTTTTCAGGAGGTGAGAGGGCAAGGGGAATTCTCCTGGAGCTTTTCTTTTGTAAGAGAAGGAAAAGAAGAGGAATGGTTAGGTGGGAAACAGATGTGGCTGCTTCACCCTTTTGTGCCAGAACTGTTTGCAAAGCATGGTTTGGAAAAGAAAGAAGATTAATATGCCTGTTTTATAGGGTTTCTTTTCTTCTAATTGTGCCCTCTCTTTCTGCCTGAACTAAAGAATATAAAAGTGATCTTTAGATATCTTAAGTATCGGAAAAAAATTGCTTTCTTGTGAATATATTTTGTGAATAAAATTATTTATATTTGTATTGATTATGTAAAGAATTTAAGAAATAGGGTAATTCTTCATTGATTGTTAACAGGATGTGCCATTTTAACAAAGACAGTAATTCCCTAAAACAAACTTTTGGGTCCAAATGGTCCTAAAAGGTTTAATTCTTCATTAAAAAACCCCATATCTGAGGATTATGCCATACTTTCCACCATCAGTGCTAACATGGGAACATAATTGTAATTTTTTCTGATGTCACCCAGCCTGCTACCTTACACTGAGCATCATGCCTCAAAGAGAAGTGACAAACAGGCTGCCACACTATCCTGAAACTGTGTCATGACACTGAGGAATGGGAGAATACTAAGGATATAAAAAAAGGCTAAAAGGATGCTTCTTCCTTTCTCCAGTAAGAAAAGGAAGGAGTGGGGCATAAAAAGGTGGTTTTGTCTTGCCTGTGAATAAAGTTTTACTATCCTCACCTGAGGGATAGAGTGGAGGAATTGAGGGGATTGATAGTAGAGCTATCTGGACTGAGCATGGAAGTATTTAAATGTAGGGACTCATTTTTATGATTCAAGATTCTTTCATCTAACAAACAGAGCTGTGAAACACCTAAGTAATATAAAAATTAAAAAAAAAAAAAACCTGCAGGAAAAGCCCCTGAGAGGCTGAGCAGAAATGCGGACGTCCAAGCGCTAAGTGGAGCCTGTGCAAATGTCAGCGTGTGTTCTTCTCTGCACAGGACTCCTCATGTCGTACCTTCAACAGCAAAACAGAGAGTGACAACCACCTTTCTTTTATATAACGAGGAACTGGATTGTCTTCATGCATTTGGCCAGCTGGTGTGTCTCATATGAAACATTCCAACCTGTATTTTCAAACCCAAATAAATGACTATTCAAAGCCACAGTGACACCCTGCTCAGAGGCAGGTGTCTGCTGCGAGGTGTAGCTGGCTGCTCAGTTTCCCGGCTGCCTTGGAGGGACCAGTCACTTCTCAGCCCATTGGCGCTGCAGCGATGGAGGTGACAGTCCAAGGAGAGGCTTGGAGGAAGGACTCTGTTGCTTGTGAAACATATGGTGCCCAAATGGGGCTATTAATCACCAGGTTGTAGCACCAACAGTAAAATATGTATGTGTGTTGAGATTTCAGTGCACAGGCCAGAACATGTTTCTGTTGGTTGAAAGCTGTTGTTTGTGGTTTGCAGGGAACCACGAAGTGGAGGAAAAAAGAAAGCAGGCAGGAGGTTCCTTGCTGATTTGAAAACTGTATTGACATCCTAATATCTTTTATCCAGTCATCAGGGCCCTACCACACAGGGGACAAGCACTTTAAGGGACCACCTTCCACTCAGGATCCTGGCAACACAATGCAGCACCAACCCATAGAAGATACTGGGAGGGCTCCAGTGTGTTGATGCTTGTTTTGATCTTCATTCTTTGGTGTGGATTCAGCTCCTGATATGAGCCATGTCTCCTGAGGGGTGAAATTGCTCAGCTGATAGGGATTTTAGGGGAAAGCACGGCTCACATGGCTGTAAGAGCAGTCTGGTCTCAAAGACAGTAAAACCCAAATGTTGTCATAAGACAAGCAAAACAAAGCTGGCATTAAGCAATGGGGTGAATCAGAACACAGAAAAGGAATTTAGGAAGCCATGGTCGTAATCCTATTAGGCTCTGGGCAGGATTAGAATAAATGGCTCCTAATTTGCTTATGCAATGTATCATTGAAGTCCCCTGTTTCCACAGCCACTCTGATGGGCTTCAAGTCACTCCAGTGTTTCAGCTGAGCAGTTTATTTTCTATTTCAGATGTTCACTCACTGGACTGAAGATGGTCTCAAGATGAGAGTGAGAACTGGTGAGTAGGAATGGGAAGGATGAGTTTCCTCATAGTTCCAGTGACTTCTCAGAAGTCTTTGCACGAGGACAAGTCACTTCCTCGCTGACCAGTATCCTCTTGTTGTTATATATATGATCTATATTCTCCACCCTGGAGCCTGGATGTTTCCTCAGCTCTGGAAAGTTGTATAATGTCTTGAAATTATACAGCCCCCTTCCTGAGTTGGGTCTCAATACAAGGCATCCTCTGAGACCTTTGAAGCATTGGCAGCTACCCACAGTTACATGGGGTGGCAGTGCCTCCATATCCCAGCACTGCAGCCAGGATGCAATGAGCAAACCCACTCCAGGGGTGCATGGCACACACACAACAGGTGGACAGATGGCTGTGAGCTGTGGGAGGTGCTGATTAGACATAGTTTATTCTCTCAGGATGATTCTCCAACAGGTTGGGGGTCAACTTGTGTGTTGTTGGAAACGTGGGCAGTGTCCACTGGTGGAGTGGGAGGTGGTGGTGGGCAGATGTCTCCTCTCTACCCGCCAGTTTGCACCTGGCTCAGAGTATCATTTTCTGGCTCAAGTTTCTAAAACGAGCCACGTGTCCCTGCCAAACGCTAAACTGAGTTTTCCTCCTTTCCTGCTCCCAAGACCCCCAGACCTTTTGGGATTTGGTGGTTTTGCAGTGAGCAGAACAGTGAGTGGAGGTAAATTTGATGGTACCAGTATAAGTAAAAACTCCAGCCGAGAAGAAATTACTCAAATTATCCCTGAATTTATGGCAGTTTAGTTACTTTCCTTTAAGAGGCCTTACAAGAGCAGGAGATACTGTGTAAGGTCTCAGGACCTATATTGTGTTTGAAGAAACCTGCCTCGCCTATGTTTGGATATAGTTTTCATGGGTCTCAGCTGAAGTTTAAATGATTTCTTCACAGAAAAGAGTGTTGTCCTCCTTGTGTCTGGCTGGGAAATTTGATCTAAAGTACAGCATTTGGCCTTATTTTAAGAAGTAGATTACTTGAAGAAAAATTACTTAAATTCTTACCGTACAGCATTTGGCCTTATTTTAAGAAGTAGATTACTTGAAGAAAAAATACTTAAATTCTTACCAACTGATATAGAGAAAAGCAACAAATCCCAGTAGGAACAATCCCTTCTTCTTTGCTGGGTAACGATGCGGCAAGGCAAGGATTTCCAGGAGAGCAAATGGCAATACAGCTGTGTGCTGAGGAAAAAGAGAGTCTGTCACTGACACATCACAGTGCCTTGCCTTCAGTCATTGCTGATCACAAAGTTCAGGCACCTGCTCAGAAGCAAAGAATTATTTAACAATACTGAGAATAATTGTATACAAATGTGCATGCTTCATTTTTTACAATGAAGTACCCCTAGAGTAATAAGCACAAAAATTTTCTTGTTAATAAGATATAAAAATGAGTCTTGCCTGTGGTGTGGTGTATGTTTATAATAGGTGAGCTCTCCTTTTGCATTTTGTAATGCAATAATTTTTTTTATAATTCCTATTACAGTACAAAAGATATTGAGATCTATCATTATGTGCAGTTGAGGATGTCAGAAGAGTGCTCCTTGAACTCACTGAGCAATTGCTGAATTGCCTTCATGTTCTCTTCTAGTCATTATTGTACTTTATATAGTATCATTTATTACTTGCTCCAGTGCAATCCCAGTGCGTTGTGCTTCCCTTTGTAAATGGAAAAATGGGGTTGTAAACATACAGGAGACTTCAGTTAGCTGTGATTGAAGGTGATGAAGAAACTTCAAACAAGTTTATCCCAGAGTCAGAAAGAAGTTAAATAGAGAAATGTGGTTTTTCTTTTTTTTCTTGTTGAAGAGTTTGAATTGCAGCTTCAGTTTCAAGGACTTTAATGGTAACTGTCTGAGAATGGAGGATTTTCAGCTCTGGGCAGACAGTTTGGTGGCATTGAGTGTTTTGTAGTGAGGAGCTGCCTCCAAGAGGGATGCTCCTCACCATAGGGATGTTGAGAGCACAGCAGAAAGCCTTCTGGGCTCAGATGTTAAATGGCCAATGCAGGGATTCATGGGATGCCAATACCTCAAATTTTTGACTGATTTGAAACAATTTCAGAAGATAATTTGCCTGGGTGAAGTTTCCCCACTGAAAATGTTGTACTCCCTGTGCAAGCAAACAATAACTTTGAATTGCAATACCTAGGACAGTTGGCTTAAACAATGTTGGGCAGCAACAAAGCAAAACTAGTCCATGAAATGCAGCAGGAGAAAAACTATAGTAACAACTGTAGCTGATTAGTTGCTTAAATTCATGGTAATTAAGTAAATAGTTTAATAGGTAGATGGGGGAGGTATGGGAGGAGGGCAACACAGAAAGATAGATAGAGTTTTAAATACAAAAAATGTCAAACTAAGGATTTTTTTTAAAAAGGCATAACCTGCTGGGTGTATGGTATGAAGATTCCTCTTGTCCCAAAGAAATGGTTCTAACATTTTTAATGTATGTGTTTTTCAGAAACTTTGGTCAGTACCTGATATGGCAATACAGTGTCAAAGTTTTATTTCCTTATATTTATGCTATAGGTTGTGAAAAAATACACATTAATTTCTTTAAATGCACAGTGAGCTATAAACAGCATGCGTGTATGTAGCTATTTGTTTAAGAGATGGACATTCACTTTTGTCTGCTGTTTCCAAGTGACCACTGCCTGGGAGCTGAGTGTCCTCCCTCAGCCCTCCTACCACGTCCAGGAGCTGCTATTCATTCTCGGCTATCCTTCTATCAAAATTACCATTCCACCTCACTTATTCCTTTTTCAGAGAAAAGAGATAGAAAATATTTCTTTGATGTTCCAGTTCCTTTCAGTCATTGGCTTTGTTCTTTTCTTCTGTTCTGTTTCACAAAGATATTCTTCAGCTCTACAACCTGCTTGGTTGATTGCAGAAGTTCTGTATCAGTACAAGCGATTCCTGAATTCATTTAACCAGAAATATATCTTCAGTGCACACAGTTTTCAGATATAATCCCTATAACTTCTTTTAGTCAGAAATCTATGTGTTAAGCTGCTTTCAAAAAGATTTAAAAGAGTTTATTTTCCATAGTTGAACAATAGTTTGTCCTTGAACAAAACCCAAAATGCCCATGGCAAGGCAGCAGCGATGGAAAACCTACACCTTGTCCTCATTTTTAGGCTTTAGCCTAAGCCTTTGGTGGGCACGCTGATTTAGAGCACCTCATTTTGCCAGGTATTTTGGAGCATACCCAGGAAAGAGCAGCACAAAGAGCCAGAAAGTATGAACAGTGAAGCAGCCCAAAGGCAGGCATAGAAACTGTGAATGCACTGAATGTGTTGTTGCAACTAGAGAGGAGAGGAAAACGAGAAGTTTCAAAGGCTTCAGAGATTGATGCAGTGATGGCTGTGATGGGTGAGTGTTCCATGTCCATCATGTCCATCACCAGGGAGGAGTGGCTCAGTGTTCCACAAGAGAGACGTCGCTTCATGCTGGGAAGCACATACGCTCCGGCAGCACACAGATAACGTGTGGACAGCAGGATACCGTCACAGGGAGAGGTTGGGGGTGGTGAGGGGCAGCCTGCTGCTCAAACACGCCGTGCATTGGCACTGCTGCTGAGCAGCAGGCTGGTAGTGCCTGCAAAAGATTGCTGGGAGATCTGCTTTTTAGTCTGTGCTGGTTTAGAAAAGGTTGATATGCTTTACTACTCATTTTTGTCAGGCTCCTCCACTTATGTAGGAGTTAGAGAAAACACTTGAGGGCCTATAAATCAATAGAAGCTTGAAAGTTGCTGGCAAAATTGGAAAATTTGGCTGCTCTTGGGAATAGCCAGGAGTTTAGTGGAAGGGGTAAGTTGAAATTTCTGCAATTCCTGATTTGACGAGTTTTCCATTGCTTGTAAGAGAATTTCCTTGTCTAAGGACAGCAAAAGCATTCAGAAGTGGGACTGTCTGCCTCTTGTTTTGCAAACAGTTTCTTAAAGTTCTTGCAGCTATCCTGATTTGGAAAAACAAATGCAACCAAAAAAAAAAAAAAAAAAAAAAAACCCAAAAAACAAAGAAAGAAATTTGTTGTGGCATAGGAAAGCTGCAAGCTTCTCTCTTCCCAAGTCCAGTTATGTCACTGGCCTATGACTCTGCGCTGTGTTTCTGTTCAAATAATTGCATCTTTTAAAATATATTTTGCCAAGTATATTAACTAGATGTGGGTGGGGGTTTTTTGTCAAGTCATTTAAATTTGCTGTGAAAAAGCTTTCTTGAGACAGATTTCTACAACAGTTCTCAGCCTCCTCAAGCACCCCCAGGATGATTTTTTAAAAATGTTATTATTTTTCCTTTGTGGATATAAAGGATTTTTTTTCATTTATCCCTCTACCCCCCAGTTCCTTCTTCTCATGTACACATACACCCCAGGCTCGTAAACATGTGGGAAAATCTTCCCTCGCACTTCTGCTATCCCAGAGCCTATTTCTGCCAAGCTGAATTTGTGCATTAACAGTAAAATCACAGAGGAGTTTCTATGGAGTACCCGAGCAAGTTTCTGACAGCAGATGTGTGTTTGCAGAGCAGACACTGGGGGAATGTGTGGATGGCTACAGGGTGCAGAGCCTGCCCTCCGCCTACGACATACAATTGGCTTTCCACATGATTTCCCTCTCAAAGCCCAGAGACGTTGACTTTGGCAACATCATTAGTGATAGAGCATATATCATGGTTAATCAGATCTGCTGAAAGGCTATAAAGGCTTCTCATATCCTTTTCTAAAAAAATAAAAGAAAAAAAGAAGGATAAAAAAAAAGATGTATTTTCTCATCCGCATTATTTTTAACTGTAGGTCTCTGGTGCATAGTCATTAAATATATTTTCAATCCTACTTAGCAGCATTTCATATTCTTTAACTGACATGTGTCTGTGGAACACAGTATTTGTATGGGGCCAAATTAAAATATACAGTTGTGCCTCTTCCTTTAAAGCAAACTTAATAATTAAGCTCAGATTGACACAGATCAAAACATTGGCAAAACTTGCTGGAAACAATGACTCATTTTTTATTTCAATTAACAGTTTCTCAGTTTCACATATAAACAGTGAAACTGTCAAAAATAATTATCACAGAGGGAGGGGGGAAAACCCACCTATTTCACTCCAAGATAAGGAAAACAGGCTAACACAATAGCTGTGTGTACTGATCAGGCTATCAATGAACCAAACTGAATCAGAGAGCTTTTCCCTACTCTTGGCAAGGATCCTGTTGGTACTTATTTTTTATGTTCTTTGAAATATTAATGTATTTATTTGTCTAACAACCTCTGTTTGTTGAGGAAAGCTTTCAGCTTACAAATTTTGCAAGAGGCAATTTTTTTTTTATTTCTTCCTAGAGTGAAGAGATAAAAGTGATGGGACTTTCAAAATTATCGGAGACATTTAGCTAACTAATCACACTTTTGGCCTGAATTCTGCTTCCAAACATTCAATTTTAAAATCCTTTGTGTCTCTTTTTTGGCAGTCGTGATTTTCCATTTGGTTTTAATTTCTTTGCTTCATTCCTGAAAAACTCAGGTGAATCTGAACTAGTTATAAAATTACAAATTTATTTTGGTTGCTCATACAAACTCTGGCATATGAATAGAGGGGGAAAAAAGTTTCTTAAACATATTCTGAACTTTATCTCAAATATTGGCACGTTAACTTTTCTCCTGCAGACAAGAACATTCCCCTGCTTCTTTACTTTTTGTTTCCTACCCTGAGCTGTATGTTTCCCAGGATACGTTTCAGGTTCATGAGTTTAAGCTGAGATAAATAGTCCTCTCTGAATATTATTTCCAGTGTTTGCTAAGACCATATGGAATTTTTACTTCCTGTATTTTGAGTAGTTGGTGTATTTATTTAATGCTATATCCTCTTTTCACCAGTGAGAATTCAAGTGAGAGCGAGCTTCCTGGGGCTGAGAAGGCAGAGTTTGTGCTGGGCTGCAGGCTCCGGCTAGGCTGAGCTTTGAGCCCATGACCACTCACTCTCTCCAGAGCTGCTGAGATCACTCGTGCTCCTGACGCGTGTGTCGCAGTTGACTCGGTGTGACCTTGTTTGACTCCAGAGCGAAGGAAATGATGCCTCGGTTGACCAGAGCTGTTTGTTTCTAATTCGTCTGCATTTACATACCCTCCATGTCTGCTTTCCATTAACATGTGAGACTTTAGGGAGGGATCTTTTCACAAACAGT